TATGTGCATATGTGCATATATATGTGCATATATATATATATATGTGCATATATATATATGTATATATATATATATAGTGAGAGTGAGAGAGAGAATATTTGTCTATTATCGAATGTATAGGAGATGTGAAAATTTTTAATGATGCAGGTATTAATGTTTTGTTTATATATGTGTGGGTGAGTAAACATACCGATGTCTATATGCCCGCACGCCATATAACATCACTACAACACATTTGCACACGCATATGTTCCTACTGACCATGCACCGCGGTTTCTGTGTGATTCCATGCGGCGGATATTAGTCAATGCATGTGCCCTTGAAACGATCAGCAAATTATAATATGTACACCGTATATTTATTTATATATATATATATATATATATTACGTTTTGTTTATATACCTCTACATCACTAAACATATCTGATGTGTATATATACCCACAGGTTAAGACACTCCAAGGTGAGAGCCAACGGGCCAATCAGATGAAGACGCGCGACGATGAGACAATCAGCAAACTCACAACTGATCTCACAAATGTTATGGGAGAGAAGCAGAACGCTGAGCGAGACGTTATGCAGCATCAGGACCAGATTAACAACCTCACGCACCAGTTGCAACAGCGCGCAAGTATCATTGCGAATGACGAGAGTAGTGCGGAGGTATATATATATATATATATGTGTGTGTGTGTATGTGTGTAGTGTCTATGTTTATGTTTATGTCTACATCTATATCTATATCTATATATACATATATATATATGTATATATATATATCTATGTATCTATATATATATATATTTGTGTTTGTGTATGAATATATATGCTTGAGCGTCTATATGTACATATAAAACTGTTTGTATGTCCTCTCCAGCTATCACGGATGGTGGTGGTGTACATATTACACGCCCACCAGCAAATAAATCGGATCATAATAGCGTTGTGTATGAGTGTATGTTAGTAAGTCTATGTTAATGTGAGTGGTTGGGTGCATACATGGGATGTGTCGCGTGTTTATCCGACTACGCACAAACGATTAACTAAAACCCTGAAACCCTAAAACTACACAGAGAGCAATGGATAAAATGCACGAATCCATAGCCGAACTAGGAAACGTTAAGGTTAAGGTAAGTCTCAGTTGGGTCTGACTACAAACAACATGTGCCTGTGCATTCCGTTGCGTTGTGTGAGGGTCTGTGTGATCAACATGTGTCTGACTATACATAACACGTGACTGTACATTTCATTGCGTTATGTGGGGGTCTGTGTGGTCCATAGATGAACTGTTGGAGTGTTATACTTCAGACAGGCCTGAATGGTGTTATATTGTGCCCCGCTAGAGCTATTGGCAGCGCACTACAAACTCGACTGATTACAAACAATATACAACTTATCAAACACAACTCATATACATACACACAACTTATATACCTGTATACAACCTGTATACCAACAAACAACTTATATACGTTCCAACAACTCATATACCTACCAACCCCATCCTACCTACAAGTACACCCACACACACACACCCATTCCTTCTTGCGCTGTGCATATGAACAGCTAGCACAGGCAGAGCGAGAGTGTGAGGCGCTGCGTACGAAGGTCGCGTCATTGGACGACACTGAACGAGCCCATGCCAACGAAGTCATCGAAATGCGCACCACCAACGACGATCAGAAGAGTCTGATACGAGAGCAGCAGCAGGTGTGCGTGTGTGTGAGTGAGTGAGTGAGTGTGTGTGTGTGGTGTGTGTGTGTGTGTTTAGACCGTTTATTTTAGCCGTATATAATCCTTCGGGGTGAATTTGTGTGTGTGTGTGTGTGTGTGTGTGTATCCAATTATCTTCCTCCGTATATGGTCCTTTAAAGTGTGTGTGTGGGCGCATATATATATATATATATATATGTGTGTGTGTGTGTGTATATATATATAAATATATGTATGTATGTGTGTGTTTATGTGTGTTTATTTATATATGCATGTATATGGATATTCATCTGCCCTTGGAAGCGCGGCCTACTATACTATTCTGTGCTATGGACACGTTGTTACCACGTTCTGTCGCATTACTACAGTTATCCCTGGCGAGTGCGTACGTATATACATATATATAAATGTTTGTAGATGTTTGCGTTGTAGTCATGTGCGTGCATGATATTCGCTAGCGCTCGCCAATACTATACCCACATTAACCCCAGGAAGTTCTATTTTTAGCAATATTCTATCTAACTCATGGTATATGTACACATTCACATGTCTCCCCTACCTACATCAACCCCTGGAAGTTCTCTTTTTAGCAATATTGTGTATATCTCTTGGTATATGTACACATTATCATATATTCAATACTCACATTAACCCCTGGAAATTCTTTTTTTAGCAATATTGTGTATTTCTCTTGGTATTTGTACACATTGTCATATATTCAATACCTATATTAACCCCAGGAAATCGATCGCTTGCGCAACAAGGTGTCGCAACTGGAGAGTGATATTGTGCAGATACGACTCAGCAACGACACCGACACAGAGAAAGAGTGGAACATCGAGAAGGCAAAGATGGACAGCTACCAAGACAGTAAGACACTATGTACACATTTGATTGTATACTGTTATGTATGTTATTTATATGATGTGTGTGTTGTGTTATGTATATGATGTATGCGTTGTGTCAAGTATAGGATGTACATAGTGTATTATGTATATAATGTATGTTTTGTGTATGTATAATATCTATGTGTTGTGTTATGTATATGATGTATATGCGGTGTTATATATTTGATGTATGTGTTGTGTTACGTATGCGATGTTTATGGTGTGTTATGTATATGATGTATATGGTGTATTATGTATATGGTGTGTTGTGTATATGGTGTATATGGTGTGTTGTGTATATGGTGTATATGTTATGCAAATTATATGATGTATGTGTTATGTTATGTATATTTTATGTATAAGTCATGTGTGGGCTATAATTTTCTTATCATGCTCATCTGTATACTTAAATGAACATGATGTGTAAGTGTATGTTATGTCTATATCATGTGTAGGCTATGACGGACAGTTAATCTTCGGGTGCTAGTATTCTAAAAGATGGATAGGCACTCTGTAACCCATCGAGTGTGTTCCTTTTTTTTTGTACACTGAAGATAAACATCTAAGTGTTGCAGTTGTGTGCACAACACATGTCATCCGTGGGGCCCTATCAAATCCTCTGCGATGAGCTATTCTTACACGCTTTATATTGGAATACATAGTTTCATACTTTGTTTTGATTCTTACACGCTTTGTATTCCAATACATAGTTTCATACTTTGTTTTGCTTCTTACTCACTTTGTATTCGAATACACAGTTTCATACTTTGTTTTGCTTCTTACACACTTTGTATTCGAATACATAGTTTCATACTTTGTTTCAATTCTTACACGCCTTGTATTTGAATACATAGTTTCATACTTTGTTTCGATTCTTACACGCTTTGTATTTGAATACATAGTTTCATACTTTGTTTTGCTTCTTACTCACTTTGTATTCGAATACACAGTTTCATACTTTGTTTTGCTTCTTACACACTTTGTATTCGAATACATAGTTTCATACTTTGTTTCGATTCTTACACACTTTGTATTTGAATACATAGTTTCGTACTTTGTTTTGCTTCTTACACACTTTGTAATCGAATTCATAGTTTCATACTTTGTTTCGGTTCTTGCACACTTTGTATTCGAATACATAGTTTCATACTTTGTTTTGCTTCTTACACACTTTGTATTGGAATACATAGTTTCATACTTTGTTTCGATTCTTACACACTTTGTATTCGAATACATAGTTTCATACTTTGTTTTGAGTACTAAAGCGAACCTGCGTTCACCGCGTCGCAAACAATCTAGACTGCACATTGGCATTTACGACATATTTGCGACAAATTTGTACCAATCGCCACAGAGCTAACTCATATCATCAACGAGCGTGAGGAGGAATTGGCAGAGAGTAAAAACCAAATTGTACATTTGGAAAATGAGCTGGAAATAATCGGGAATGACTTGGGCAGGCATGACATCATTCAGGAGTGTCTCAGCACACTTGACGGCCATAATCAGAGCATAAAAGGTACATACCGTATTGTGTGCGCGTGTGTGTCTAAGGTGCGAGATGCCACTTGTGAAATATATGTATGTATATTTACACACACACACATATATATATATATATATGTATGTATGTATGTGTGTGTGTGTGTGTATGTATATATGTATATATGTATATATGTATATATATATATATATATATATGTATGTATGTATGTATGCAGGATTATGTATATATCAATTCATCGTTTTATAAATATATCTCTATCTCTATGTCTACCTATTTCTACATCCACATCTATATATATATATATATTTATAAATATAATTATATATATATAAATATATATATATATATATATATATATATTTATTTATTTATTTATTTATAATTATATATATATATATATATATATATATGTATTATATATATATATGTATATGTGTGTGTGTGTAGTATATA